CCGGGGGTGTCCTCGGGCCCTGGGCAGCGGCGCCGCCCGGTCCTGGCGCTTCGTGTGGCAAGGGCAGCTTCTCCAGCATAGCGTGGGTTTGAGGGAAGCTAACGCAGCGGCGCGTCAGCCCGCTTATTTTTGTCATTAACTGCCTTTGCATAATCCGTCAAATCTGTTCTCCTCCTGGAAGAGCATCGCTGCCAATCATGCCGCTACCGCTCACCACTGTGATTGCGATACAGCCCCCAAACAAGCCAGACGTAACTCTGAACTGCGACATTAGAGGATAAGGAATCTTTCCCTTTACTCCTAATACTGCTTGAAGAGTTAAACACAATACAACCTGCATTCCTAAGCCACGTCATAAAATACATAGCTATGTCAAGGGATAAAACTTTTGGTGGTCTTAATGTTACTTCACTACAAGGAATCTGCCCACTACTCTTCCCTGAAAGTTCTCCATTCTTGAAGGCACCATAAAGGAAGCAAAAGGCCATTGGAACAACCTAGGTGAAAATAATAGACATAATTCAGAACTAACATAGTTAAGGTTAAAATATTTCTAGTAACAGACACAACTGGGAGAAAGAAATAGTCCTGTGATTCCCATTGGTGTTTAAAACCCTTCTCGGTATTCAAACATTGGAACATTTTCTCACTGTGACTTACAGCCTCTTGAAAACATTACACTTGATTCTGCTTCGTTAACTAGTTTATTAAATTCTTTATTAGCTTACTGTGCACATTTTTCATAAACAATTATGATCTTACTGAATTTAACAGAAAACATCCACCTATATTTGAAATACTAGGGATCATCAGATTCCTATCACTTTAGATCACTCACAGCTTCCTTTCCTTTTGAAGTGTTAACAATTTTTGCTCTTTTTTAGCTGAAATTTTCTGACCATCAGCTGGTCACCTATACAAGTACTAGTTCATATTCTGCATATTGAGACATGTCTGCAGACTAAGGAATGGAAAAAATCCATGGCTGAAAATAAGTCTTTCTCTTCTGATGTTTTGTATTTTCAAACAGAGATTAGCAATTACTTTGTACTAACTTCCCTTTTTGCAAGCACATGGTTTATAAGGAGACAGAGTTCACAGAAAGCAGCCAACATGAAACGATTAAGTCAGGCTGCAATGTAGGGCACACTGAGAGCAAAACCTAATCTCTGAGAGGTTTCCACTTCATCTGCACTCATCTGCGTAATCAGCTTTTCATCTTGTCATAGGATAAATGCAACCTGCCTTCTGCTTCATTTACCCTATATAGAACACTCGTATAGATTTGTATGGAGCGAGTGGTAAGAGCTTGTGTACAAATGTATTCAGAAAGGAACTTGAAACCATTCTTTTTTAAAGGAACATTAAAGGCTGGAAGCCATCTATTTGCTAAGTTAATATACTGATTAGAACTGGAAGCTATTTACTACATCCAGTATGCAAACTGACTGTGATTTAGATGAAACAATCCTTATTTTCAGCTACTATTTCATTTCTTAATCTGTTACTTTGTGGATGGTAAGCAACGATAGCTGTTGCTTACACCTTTCAGGAGCTTTTATAAACTGCTAAAGTCCAGTGAATAACCTAAGCTGTTGAGTGAAACAAGTGTTTTTGTCATCACTTGTTTTAGTCTCTATTCATTTGAGTGTGGAAGGCTCATACAAGTGAAGACCTTCATGGAACACAGGAATGAGTAACAGCCTCCTGTTCAGGCTGTTCCTTTATTTAGATAGTGTCACCAGAAATCATATGTTCAGGCAGCTCCTTTATTTGGAAAAGTATCACCAGAAATCATAGCTAATCATCAAATGAAACATTTGAAAAAAAATGTTCACAGAAGCAGTGTCTGTTTGGCTTTGATGTCTGGCAACCTAAGTCTAAACCAAGTTCGGTGGACTAACAATGACGATACAGGCTGGCCAACTGCATGTTTATAATTCTTTCTGCTCTTCTCTCAAAGGATGAATATTTTTCTGTACTATAGTCAGAAGAATGTTCATAAATATGTATGGGTAATCTCCTGGAGGTACATGAGGCAAACATGAACTGTATGATGCAAAAAGGGGAGTAGGAAATGCATTGCACCTTGCTGCCAAAGCAACTGTTACCAGTCTATTTGCACTTGAAAAACTCAAAAGCAAAAAGTCATTATGCATAAGCCAGCTTAATTTTCCTTTTTTTTCCCCCCATGACCACAGCAAATTCTCATCTTTGAACAGGTGTTTCCATCTTTGAATATGTTTAGTTGCTTGTCTTAAAATTGCACGTCAGGGCTAACATTTCAGTATAACTGGGTAATAGGGATGTAAAATTTAATATTTTAAGCTCAAAATTAATACTTTGAATTCTCAACAAATTCAGCTCAACACTGCAACAATTCGTTATCTATTCATATTTGCATGTCCAGTTTCGAAGACAAAAGAATTAAATCTCTTCCTGACTTGTTTAGAAACATGAATTAAATGTGTTTATGGCGTAGTATACATGCCCAGAACTCTTTATTCTTCAGTTCCTCCTCTTGCACCCACTCAAATCCCCCTTGTGTCATCATCCCATATTCTTGAATCCATTCCATCCCATGGCGTGAAACAGAAGCATGAGCCATCATTCCAGAAATCCCATGCAGCAACTACTACTTCGGATTGTGATCCCTTCTGTCTCAGCTGCCAGTTTTATTCTTATATCTAAAACTCAGTAGAGACTCTGCACAAAAATACTGAGAATAAATTGTGAAATTCTATGAAGTCCTTAACAGGACTAGTTACAATTCTGGCATAATTGATACAATAAATAAATAAATAAATAAATAAATAAATAAATAAGCATCTATTAATTGTAAGACACCATCTGTTTTCTGAAAAAGTATTAAGATAAATAAAATTTGATTTGTAAGACCTAGATTAATCTGTATCTTCTCTTCATACAGAAAGAAAGGCAATAGCACTATTTATACAAACAATAAAGAAGTAAATATATTGGAATGCATTTTTAAAATGGATTGGATGAAGGGGTTTTGAGTGGCTTTTTTTTAAACTTCTGTCTCTGCAACATATACTGCATTCTGTTAATATGGTTTATTCATAAATTCTTGATCCCAAACCAGCTAATACAGAAATATTACAGTTTACATTAGTAACCATTAGTCATGCATCAATATGAAAGATTTTATCCTAATGAGTAATACAGATTTTCCCATTTCAAATTATAACAAATCACTTGAATGACTAAGTAACTTTGGCCAAAATGGCTTTCTGTCTGATTAATAAATATGGAACTTCAAAAGACAGCAGAGGAGAATCTTTGTAATTTTCAAAATTATCAACGTATAAGAATTTGAAGTGCTGCCAACTTTTGTTATTAAATTGCTTGATGTTGGACAGGAGGGAAGCCAATCTTACAACAAAAGAAAGTGTGTGTTTGCAAATTTCTGAAGGTAGAGTGAAAAATTACTTATCTTTATGGGACAGGAACATAATCAGGACTGTCAATGCAAAAGACCTCTCTGGAAATGAATATTTATTTAAGTGGCTGAAACACTTTATTTGGCTGTCAAGTATTTCTCAACTATTTACACTTTGCAGACTTTGGACATTGCAGTAAACAAACCATGTAGAAAGTGAGCTACTACTTGGAGAAGACCATTACAAATGACCTTCAAAACAAGAAGAACTAGAGAACAAACAAGAAGAACTAGAGATGTGCATGCGCCTGTGCAGATATCACATTGTTAGCATCATGGAGCATCATGTGGGATGGCTTCTATGACTGGAACATTGGAATGGAAGGCTTTAGGCCCTTCAGGAAGGACAGGCTGGGGAGACGAGGTGGAGGAGTAGCCCTCTATGTCAATGAGCAACTGGTGAGTGTGGAGCTCAGCCTACGGACAGATCAGGAATTAGTCAAGAGTTTGTGGGTCAAGATTAAGGGCAGGGTTCAGGAATTAGTCAAGACTTTGTGGGTCAAGATTAAGGGCAGGGTTGGGACAGAGGATGTTATAGTGGGGGTCTGCTACAGACCACCTGATCAAGAGGAGGGTGTGGATGAAGCCCTAGAGAGACAGATGAGAATAGCCTCAAGCTTGCAAGTCCTGGTCTTCATGGGGAATTTCAATCACCCCGATATCTGTTGGAAGAGCAACGTGGCAGTGCATAGGCAATCCTGGAGGTTCCTCAAATGTGTCAATGATAACTTCCTTTCACAGATGATAGAGGAACCAACAAGGAGAGGAGCTGTGTTGGACCTTGTGCTCACCAACAGGGAGGAGCTGGTGAGGAACGTGGTGCTCTAAGGCAGTCTTGGCTGTAGCGACCATGAGATTGTGGAGTTCGAGGTCCTCAGGGCAGTGAGGAAGGCACATAGCAAGCTCACTGCCCTGGACTTCAGGAGGGCAGACTTCGACCTCTTCAAGGACTTTCTTAGCAGAGTCCCTTGGGATGAAGTCCTGGAAGGCAGAGGGGCCCAAGACTGCTGGCCGGTATTCAAGGATCATCTATTCTAGGCTCAGGACCAATGCATCCAGACACGGAGGAAATCGGGCAAAAACCCCAGAAGGCCTTCATGGATGAATAAGGAAGTGCTGGGGAAACTCACAGAAAAAAAAGAGGCCTTCAAGAAGTGGAAGGGAGGACAAAAGGACTGGGAGGAATACAGAGAAGCCGTAAGAGAAGCTAGAGACATATTCAGGGAAGCTAAAGCGCAGTTGGAATTGAGGCTAGCCGGGGACATTAAGGATAACAAGAAGGGCTTCTACAGGTATACCACATGCAAAAGGAAGACTAGGGATAATGTAGGCCCCCTCGAGAAGGAAACAGGAGAACTGGCTATCCTGGCTATAGAAAAGGCTGAGGTTCTTAATGACTTCTTCAGTCTTCAACTCCAAGTGCTCTAGCCATTCTATGCAGACCAAGAAGGGCAAAGGTGGAGACTGGGAGAATGAAACCCCTAAACCCACTGTAGAAGAGGATCAGGTTCATGACCAGCTAAGGAACCTGGATGTGCATGAGTCCACGGGTCCTGATGAGATTCATCCTCAGGTCCTGAGGGAAGTGGCCGATGTAGTTGCTAAGACACTACCTATAATTTTTGAGAAATCGTGGCATTCAGGTGAAATCCCTGATGATTGGAAAAAGGGAAATATAACCCTCATTTTTAAAAAGGGGAAAGCAGAAGAACCAGGAAACTGTCGACTAGTTGTAAGGGACCATTAAGAAATGTTTGTTTCAACATTGCCTGGCTTTGATGACTTGATGTAGCTGTACGGAAAGGAGACTGAAAACAGCTACCTCTGGACTGTTTGCCTCAAGGCTTGTTGAGTCACAGGGTGTCTCCAGCTGCTGAGATAACCAGGTGTCATTGTCCACCACCCAAATCCTCCAGCTAACAGATAACAACCAACATTCTGAGATAACCAGATACCATAGTCCACCACATACACCCTCTGGCTGCTGAGCCATCTGCCAGATAATGATCAACATCCCTTCCAGCTGCCTAGGCCACAAGGCACCATTGTCCAGGACTGACATCACTTTCAGCTGCTGACATCCTGAGGCTGGGAATTGCTCAAATCCAGGGAAACTGACCAATCAGTGCCTGATAGAGCCCTATAAAAAGGACCAGCATCCAGAGCATGGCGCACACTCACCACCAAAGGAAAGACAGCTATGGATTATCAGAATGCTGCTGGGTTTATGGTGGTGACTATCCCTGTTATTGGAATGCTGCTTGGACATACAGTGGCGGCTATCTTTGCTGCAGCATCCCAAATTTACTTGCTTCCTCCCTTTTCTGTTTCTAACTTTCCTATCACCCTTCTCTCTCCCCCTTGAGCAACCAGTAATAGTCTCACTCCTTAACAGCATTTTGACCTGGTTTGTGTCTTAATTTACACTGGGGGAATTGACTGAACACTCCTGAGTCTTATTGGACCGGGACACCAGTCAGTCGTACCTCTGTGCCTAGCAAGATCATGGAGCAGATTCTCCTGGAAGCTATGCTTAGGCACATGAAAAGCAAAGACGTGAGTGGTAATAACCAGCATGGCTTTACCAGGGGCAAGTCATGCCTGATGAATTTGTTGGCCTTCTGTGATGGGGTCACTGAATGTGTGGATAGGGGAAGAGCAGCTGATATCATCTACCTGGACTTATGCAAAGCTTTTGACACTGTTCCTCATGACATCCTTGTCTCTAAATTGGAGAGCCATGGATTTGATGGGTTGACCACTTGGTGGGTAAAGAACTGGCTGGATGGTCACACGCAGAGAGTTGTGGTCAGAGGCTCATTGTCCACATGGAGGCCAGTGATGACTCGTGTCCCTCGGGGTCGGTACTGGGGCCAATACTGTTCAACATCTTTGTCAGTGACATGGACAGTGGGATTGAGTGCCCT